CTTTCACCATTTATTGTCCTAGATTGTCAGCAGCAAACTAGAGGCTGGAAGTGGCAGTGGCAGTGGCACTATACAGTGCTGTAGCTCTCCTGATGAGCCTTGCCCAGCGTTATCCAGGTATGAAAAAGCTTTTGAACCCTTTCATAGATGTGGCTGAGTGTGACCTTTTCTGGTAATTCTTTTCTATGTTTTCTTACTCAGAAAGAGGGGCAACTGCCTCTTTTCTAGAAGCCAAGATCTGAAACTGGGTAGTTTTAGTAGCTGTCTTTCATCATTCTGCTTGGAGGAAGAGGTCAGGCCACTTCACAGTGATGAAGACTGATGTATCACGGACAGGGTCAGAAGCAGAATTTGCTTTATTCTCCTAGAATCACATTAACTCTTAAAGACCTGGATTTTGCTCCAACTTATGTTCTGTAGGCAATATTTTCATTGACTTTTGTGGAAGAGTTTACAGATAAAACATCTACTGTCAATCTGAACAGATCATCTTAATCACTGCTTATATAAATCTGTTTTTTCCCACCTATCATCACTTTGTGAACAACTGTCTCGCACTTTCCTTCTTCAGAGCTTTAGTTTTCTTTTCAGTCTGCTTTGGTCACTGGGTTGCATAAAATGTCCTTCTTGTAGCCAAGGTAGGAATTATCGTAAAATTCCACTGCAAAAAGTTTCCTACATTGCATAATGTGCCCATTTATATTGGCAAATTCAGTTATGTGAAATACTGGCATGGAGTCTGTTCTAAATCTGTCACTGATGGGACCTTTGTGAACAGGCCCTTACTGAATCTTTAGTAGAGAGAAGTTGGCAAGGTCAGGATCACACAGTGACCATGGTAGACCAAATGCTTGGCTGAACCTGGATTTTGCTAGAATTTGTCAAGGTTTCAGAAGATTACTGTCATATGATAGCTAAGCAGTGACCTATCTTACTGCTTCATTTTGTTCAAGTCCCTTTGAAGCCACTGCCTTGAAGAGATGTGTCCTGTAATACCCATATGCAAGACCAGGTTGAAACATTGCTGCTCCAAATACAGAAAGGCTGACGTTGCTACAGCTTTCTCTAGCAGTGCCATGGCTATTGAATCGTTCTTGGTCTTTAATGTTGTTGATGTGTCATGTTTAATAAAAATAACTACTTCTGCTCTGATTTAATATCTTGACCCAGATCTGACAAACTTGGAATCATCTATCACATAGGAGTTTCCCTGTTCCTTCTCTTGACAGGTTATGTGCTTTTGTTTTACAGAGTTCATCTCTCCTCTGATGCAAATGCACAGCCACTTTCCATACAGTATATCTTGTGAAAAAGATTTATTAATTCCAAAAGTCCCTTTCCTTAGTGACTCTCTTAACCGATTTGCACTAGCACCATTTTTCTTATCCATTTCCTTCTGGAAAGGTTCATAAACTAGCAGTGTAGTTAAAGGTGAATTGACAATGAATGCATAGAAAGGTGAGTCCATGCAGGTCCAGAATGTCACGGTATTCTTGTTGCAAAAATTTTGTTGTAGTTGAAATCCAGTAAATTAAACTTTCAAACTGAATGTGGCTCCTACTTAGAACAGTTTAATCTTTTGTTTCCTCTAATAGGATAATGAAAGAGTATTAAAACCTTGGTTGTTATGATCATACTCAGTTCATAATGAACCACAGTGCAGCAAATTTTGGGGGTCCATCTGAGGTGGGAATTTTCATGACTTCTGAGTATGTTGTTCTTGGAGATTCTCTCCCAGGGATTCAGAAATTGTTCTTAATCCCTATATATGTAGGATTACATTTTCAAAACTTTCAATGTAGTCCGCTCCTATTGGTTGCAGTCAAGGGCAGTTTTACTTCTGACTTTAGTGATAGAATTATGTGCCTACTCTATATGCTTTAACAGTCAAATTCCTTAGTTGTTTTAAATTTAGATGTACTTATCCCTGACAATTTTACTTTGCTTAATAAAATTCCTTTTGGACTTGTTTCTTGATATATTCCATGACCAGTATAACCTTGGTAATAAGGAATTATAAACTTGTAGGTGGTTTCATTTGACCTGACTTTCCATGGCAGTGCTTTTATACTCTCACTGTTATTATTTGATAACCATTTTGTCATCCTTGAGAAAAGACTCTTTGAAACATTTCAAGCCTTATAGGAAATTCAGTGGCAAGGGATTTGAAAAAGGGTTCTTCTTGAACATCCCATTATCCAAAGAAGACATGAAGGGAATAGTTGTGGTACCATGAGGCTTCATATAAGAGTAATTGATTGGAAGGTAGTATTTTAATGTAGAGATTAGTGATCTGTAAGAGAATTTACTGAGAATTGCCTTGCATTGAATACACCAGTAGGTGAGATCATAGTTTAGGTGGTCACAGAAATGACAGGGAATATCTGTTAGTTTCCTTGTTATTCTCTCCTTCATCCTCTGTCATTCTTTTCCTCTTGGTCTTCCCATTCAAGTTCACCATGCAGAACAGCTGCCCTGGGCCAGCTCCTGCTGAGATAGACTGATGGAAGAGCAGAGATTTTTGTTGCATTTCTGTGCTAAATTGTGGGTGGGTGTTGCACATAATAAACCCAGACAAAAAAGAAAAAAAAAAAGAAAAAAAAAAAGTAAAATTACTAAAACTGAAGCAGAGCCTAAGTGCTTTTGGGGAGGGTGAGATGGTGTTCTGGGAAAATGAAATTGCTGTGTATTCCATCTGTGGCGGCATCTGAGAGGAACAGTTATTAGAGCAGTAGAGCAGGACCCAGAGCATCACACCTGCAGTCCAGTCTCTGTGGGATCAGTAATTACATATTAATTAACAAGTCTGGAATGAGTGAGAGTTTGCATGTCAGCAGATAATCTGTATAGTGACTAATAAACTGCAGAATGTTTTCAATTAGCAGGCTTGAAAAGGAAATCCCAGTGAGTGTTTTGCTTGGTTGGGAAAGGACGGAATGAATGCACTCTGTTGTTACTTACCCTCCAAATAGGAAAGTGGCAGATTTAAAAACTACATCGTAAAGATTAGGATCTGAGAACAGAAATGCTTAAATTACTTATTACTACTGTGCATTGATGAAATCATACAGAGTAAACTTCAGTGAAATTAAATTTTTTCACTTGATTAAATAAGAGCAAGCATGGAAAAAGTCCATTCTTGCATAGATTCTTTCAAGCTTTAAGGTATAAAATGTATTTTTATTGCAAGTTTTTTAATGGACTGAAGTAGGGACAACTCCAGAACCTGTTCGCCAGAGAAACAAATGTTGCATTCTCTCTTTGGCTTGAATTCTGGGAATCATTGACTATATTCTACCTCTCTCTGGCTTTTCACTGTGATCTCCAGGTGTTAGATTCCCTACATTATATGTTTACATAGTAATGTAAGGAGAACTTATTTCTTGGTGACCTGGCTTGTCTGTTTTCACTTGACTTTATTTCTGTTCTGTCCATGTTTGTACTCAGAGGCATCATTTAAAAAGGTAATTTCCCAAAGTGTTGGAGCGATTTTATAATTTTTAATTTTTTTCTCCTCTAGGATGATATTATAAGAGCAGGCAATTTGGGACCCTGCTTTTTAATTAGCTACAAGTAAGGAGAGGTTATACAAGGGAAGAATGATGAAAAATTTGTTTGGGATTTACAATTTATAGAAGTGAACTATAAAACTTTTTCATTAAGCAATTCAAGATATATAGTACATAATTTTGAACAACTTTCTAGCACTGCAGATGGATCAGAGCTATTCAAATCAACCTGAAGTTATTAAGTTAATTCTTGATAAGTGAGTCAGAACATGTATATTGTCATGGCCACAATGTATTTAGAATTACTGTTATGGAGATATACTCAAAATATTAATGCTTTTTGGCCTTGTGAATATCCACAGCTGTCTCTGGCTCTGTGTTATGCAGGTGCTTTTAATATTTTGTCCCAGAGAGGATGCTTTTGGGAAAGGAAAGCTGATATAGATCTGCTTTGTAAACTCCTCAACTGCATGGCTCATCTTCAGCTCCTCCCAGGGAGGAGCTGTGTGGAGCCCTGGCTGGGCTGAGCTACAGAAGCAGGATTATAAACTCCACTCCTGTGCTATTGCCACATCATATTTCTCTGATAATCAACATTTTGCAGCAAGAGATTTTTTTTTAAATCTTGGAACAAGTGCAGCTTGGATATGAATAATGTCAACAGTTGGAGGTTTCTTTTTAATAATCATCAGTCTTCAGGCTGGCACTGAACTGTTGGCCTGTCTAAAGTACAGAGTGTAGAATCCCCCTTTACATTCTGTGTGGTACATCTTACCCCATTTAACCACTGAACTGGTTCTGTTCAAGGTATTAGTTGCCCTTTTTGGACCTTCTGTCAACATCATTTTCCTTCCCTCATCTCCATCCCTCAGATTGTTGCTTCCACTTGAAGGGAAGCAAGTCAAAGGCACATGGAAAGGTGCTAGATCTTTTCCACATGGTGAACTATAGCAGAGTTGGGTCAGTCACTTGAAAAGTCCAGATGCCATGAGTTTTCCCCAATTTCTCCTTGATGTTTTCCTGCAGATCCCTTCCTGGCTGCTGCACTGAACTGATATTGGATACAAGAGATCTCAATACAATCTAAGGCATCATTTCCTTCATTACCTTTTAATTAATTTGTATGGTTCTCTGTAGCACCTGTTAGGAAATCAAATTGGATTTGGCCAAGCCCCTTCTAAGGCAGCCAGGCAGGTTTTCTGCCATTTCAGATAAACTATGATCCCTGACTTCAAGATTTTTCAGTTCTTACGGGGGCTTATCAGTGCTCACCTCTATCAAGTGCATGGTGGTAGGTTATTTGTAATTAAATTAATCTAGTTCACGATCTTCCCCTCCTCCCTTTCTCTTTCTCCCTCCTTCCCTTCCTGTACTTTTGAAGGATACCTGACCTTGCATCTCACTCACATCAGCTTGCAGATTTTTTAGTTTTCTCATCATGTTAAATCCAGGGTTGGTTGGAGCACAAGACATGGGTTATATTTTTCATTCTGAAGACAGCGTGCATCTAGAATTATGTCCTCACAGGTAATTGAAGTTGCAGCTGTTGTACTATCCACCTCTTTTCACACTGTCAGGGAAAAGAGGTACTGTGGAAGATTACTAGCACTTCAAATCAACAGTTGGAGCTTCTAACACATGCAGACCTTCACATGTATTAATGTGACATTTGTATTTACAAACAGAGGTTGAAATTAGAGGTTCCTTTGGATACAAGATGTTATTGTGGTCATTTTGTGTTGATCCCTTGGGTTTTCCACCAGTCTGACAGCTGTCCATAACTTACTGCCCAGAGTTTGTAAAAGAATAGCAAGTTATATTTTTCCTCCCTTACTTGACTTGTTCCAGATTGAATAAATCCAATTTAATTATTTTTAAAGTAATTTCTCTCCCAATTTTGGGTACATGTGGAAATAATGTATTTACTTGGGACTCCTCTAAAAAGTTTTCACTTTGACAGGTTATACTGTACAAAATGCTTAAATAAAAATATCAGTGAAACAATAACAACAGGGCTTTTCAATTGCCATGAAATAAAAAGACATGGAAGTGGAGTGTAAAGGACTTGTCTTAGGTTTTCATATGTTCAGTCAACCTCATGGAAGTCATTTAACCCTCTGTACCTGTTTGTCTCTTGTTTGCCATCACCCATATGATTTACAGTTTCTAGAAATTCCTTTCACAAGTTTCTCTAAAATGCTCTGAGACACCTGGATGCAAAGAACTATAAATATTAGCAACTAGTCATCTGTTCATATTGCTGTCTGAACTGGGGTCACCACCATAGCTTTAAAAACAGGCTTTCAAACCATGCAGTCTCAAATCAGAAGTAGTTTTAAGAAGCTGATGCTTTTTCCAAGGTCTATAAAATCAGCTAGTCCCAAAGAAAAGCTGATGTCCTTAACTCATCTTGCTTTAATTTCTGCAGTGTTAATGCCTCTTGTCCAGGCTGTCAGCATGGCTCCGTGGTGAATCCGTCTGTATCCTGTTTGCAGGGGCTGCTTGAAATGCCACGGGATTCCTGAGCTGAGGTGCCTGGCCAAAATCCTGTCCTGCTGTCTGCTGTGTGAGAGTGCATTACCCCACCAGGCAGGGGGCCATGCTGAACCTGCTGGGTTTTTAACTAGGCATCATGAGTCAGACACTTTACTGCTAAAAGTGCAGGGTTTGGGCTATTTAATTATTTGTTAGCTGTAAGAATCTGAGGACTCACAAACCGTCTCTTTTGAGGAATGCGGTGATTTCATCAGATAAATGTTTAAAGCAGAGCTAAGATAGCAGACAACTACAGCAGAAAAATATTTTTTCCTTTGAGATAACCTCTTAAATATATACATATTTAAAACCATTTTATCTTTTCTGTCTGATTCTAAGCACCCCTTCTGTTAGCAGCAGACAGAATTAAAAAGAGAAAATCCTCAGTGGATGCCTTTCTTTTTTTTTTGTGAAATGTGTCAGATGATAAGCAAAATGTAACTGGGTATTTATTCTACTTTTCATGTGCCCTGCAAACTGTGGAAGGCAGCAAGAGATAGATAGAGCAGCAACAGCCTGATAAGCCTGGCTTTTCCCTTTTTGCTGGCTTGCTATTTACTTTACTTCACTTCCTATGAGGGAACACTGGGAGAGAGACCAAATGTCTTTACTCATCTGGGAGATTTTAAAGCTGCTGGGAGTAGACTGGTGCAAAAAGCAACTCCTTGATTACAAGATTTGTAGGTAAATGTTACCCTTGCAATAATAATCATTTCCCCTCCATCTCCTCCACAGCACATTCTGTTCTAGCAGTCCTTAACAAACAATAATAGCAAAAATAAGCTGTATTTTTTTACACTGGTTATTTTCTCTTTCCTTACTGAAAAGGACACATAATGGAATGAATCTGGTTTCCCATCTGTTGCTAGGTGCAATTCAAAGTGGCAGTTTTGACCTATAAAGATTTGGCTGTTTTGCGTCATGCGTACCCTAGAGACAGCCTCTCCCTTTTAATTTCTCTGTGTCTCCATTTTCCATCTGTGAAAAATCAGGATAACACTATTTTTCTACTTCACAGGGATTTTACAAGGACACATTTATTAGCAGGCACAAAGCATAGGCTTTGTATTAGACATCAAGCAAATATCTATGTCTAAAAACTTGCTGCTACCCTCAGTCCCACAGAACCAGAGTTGATTGATCTCCATTATGTGACAGAAGGTGATTTGTTGTCCTAGGCTGCATTATGGAGGTCCATCTCTGAACCTTGCCATTTTAAAACACATTCATAATAAGATACTTGCAAATCACCCAGCTGAGTTTGGTCTTTCCCATTAAATAGTTTGGGACATCCCAGGAGTAGGAAATTAGCCTATAATTAGCCTATCATTAAGTGTGTTTACATGTTGCACTTGTGGGTCCCAAATAAAGAAAGGGCCAGTGGGAACCACAAACTATTGGATTGGAGGAGGTATGTGTGAGATACTTACCTATTTGGGGATGTTTCCTCAGAGCATGTATCTCCAGAGCTGTGGTTGCCTGTTGTATTAGAAGGGAAGTAGTTCTTCAGTCACTTCCATAAATCAGTAGCTCTCAGGTGCATTTTTGCAGTCACATGCAGGTCAGGTTTAAGCAGTTCAACATGCCTGTTTGAGAGAAGACATCTCCAGGGCATGTTGGTTGATCAAAGTGATATTTTAGACTTGTACTAAATTATGGACTTAGTACTTCAAGAGTTCAGGGTATGGGTAGGGGCGTTTTGAGGAGCAGTGGCTTTACAGCAGCAATCCTTCAATGCAGACTCAGGGTATTTCATATCTCTCCTATTTCTGATGAGATTCTTGGAATGACAAAGTTCAAGCTCAGCAGTGATAGAAGTTCTGTGACTGAATGGAAGACAGGGCAGCAGCTTTCCCTGTGGATGATTACAAGACATGGTCCATCAGCTAGATGGACTGACTTGCTCATTTATGTGGGCTCTGTGCCTATCAGCTCTTTATAACCCTTAGTAAAATCTTTGGAGGCTTATTTCCAGGCTGTGCTAAGCATGCTGGCACATATGATGTTAGCCCCCAGTGGGGATATTGGTGGCTATTCCCAGTCTCACAGTGACAGAAAAGATGCAGGCTGTGCCAAAGTAGCACATGGGAAACTGTTATAGGGTCTATTAAAGATCATGGCAGTGTTTAAGTTTTTCACTGTACTACATCCAAATACTCTATTTTTTCCTAATATTATCTTTGTAACTGTAATGAAAATTGACCTTGTTTAATAAGAAACTCTTCTATTAAAACTTCATTGTGTTACGTGTGTATACATACATAGGCTTTGCAGAAGAGGCAAAGTCTTCTGCAGAGATCTCTGCCAGCTTAAAAACAGAAAATTGGAACTGCCACTTTACCTTTCTAACGCCCCTTAATTCTATTCTTTGTGGTTATAATAAATGTAGAATTTTATCCTTTTTAGGTTTAGCTACTTTTTAATAATCTGGTTGAGAGAATTTAGAATAAATAGATAAAAGGAAACTGCAGCAAAGCTTTCTTTGTGTTTAGAAACATGTTACCGTAAGTGCAAATAAATGGTTAATTAAAATTTAGCTTAACATGTATTCACTTTAGTTCACTAAACAAAACAGAAGCCCCTTCATGTGAACATCAATGATGTGGATGCTGCAATTTTGAGGTTTGGCAGTGACACAGCTTTTGAGAACTAGAAAAGAGTGCCAGGGAAAGATAGAGACAGGGCCTCATCCTGCAAGCCTTTACTGATTTGATAGCTCTTCTTATTTCCTTAAGGCATGTTTGCCTGTAGCACTGCATTCCAGTGGAAAGGCTCTTAATTTTGCTCAAAGGATGGGGTCAGGAGGAGGTGACATCTCCCTGCGTATGAGGGAGCAGGCAGGTCGAGCCGTGCTGAGCCTCCTCCTGCTCCTCGTGCTGAGGCGAGGAGCAGCGCCTCGGCAGGACCATGTGAGCTATCTCACAGCACCTCGTTAGCATGGGATGATGGCTTTATTGGAGGTGCAAGTCATAAAAAAGTTTCCTTTGGTTAAAAATGAGCAGTTTTATTTTAGTGTGATGACAGCCTCATACTGAGGATTGAATTTTTGCATTGCAGCTAGTTTTGTGTGTGCGCAGGCAAGGGAAGGGAGCTGTGGACATACAGAGCTAAAAAGCAGGGGGTGAAATCCAAAGAAGAAAAGCTTGCAGTGATTTTTGTATTTTTATTTCTTAAACTTCTAAGATTTTCATGGTCCTGTCAGCTGAATGAATTTTTCTTTGAGTAGCAAACTGTTTATTTGGAAGTCCTGGCTCTGAATCTCACTTAAATGAGAGAATTTGGAGCTACGGGTGAGATAACTACCAAGGATGAAGGTTTCAGATGTAGCTTTTTTTAGTGCTAGTTGTAAAGCAAACATTTAATTGAGGTATTGTCCAGTTCTCTATCTTGTCATCCTGGAAATACAGTCTACAGAAAGATTCAGTGTTACCTGTTCCAGGGAAAAAAGCTACTGTAGGAAAATGTGTCAAAAAATCTCCCACATAATGTAACACCAGTGCTCAAAAATCCACGCTCACCTTTCACGTGAACGTCTCAAAGTGCTTTTCAGATGGAGAAACTGGAACCCAAATTAATGACACAGTACTTCGGGTGCCCTATTACAATATATTTGTTTCATTTTTCTTTTGCATGTTGTTACCTAGGAAGGCCAAGCCCGGCTTTTGCCAAGGGCTCACACCAGAGAAGTGCCCTCAGCCTGCCCAGCTCTGGAGGTGCTCTGCAATGTGAACAAAGCAATCACGGCTGGGACAGGGGCACAGCCCACAGAACCCAGGCTCCAGGGCAAGGTTACTGCACCCTACACGAGATTGCCTCCCTGGTGTTGGTTTTCATCACTGCTATGAAGTCCAAGAAAATGCCACAGAGGAGGAACCAAGTATTTGCTGAAAATGGGGTCAGCACGACTGTTACATTTAGGACAGTACACGCACAGCTCACCCCAAAATACACGTGGATATCTGCTGGCTGTCACAAGCTAATATGACTGTCACTGCATAACCTCAGGCTTGCACCATGACGACGATGGAAATTCTTCAATGAGAAGCGGCCAGGCCTCTCCACCCGTCCGGGCGGCGCGGGCCGGGGGCTGGCAGGGACGGCCCGGCCGCCGAGCGGCGGCTCGCGGGCTGGCCGCCAGCAGAGGGCGCCGGCGGACGCCGCTCCCGATCGGCGCCGAGCCCGAGGGAGCCCGCGCGATCCCAAAGGAGCCCTCACGATCCCAAAGGAGCCCGCGCGATCCTGTTATAAATGAAAATTTGTCCAGCCAAATTAATATGAAAAATAAAATATTTATTTTGCAGTCAAATTTTATCTAGCCAGCCACAAGGAAAGAACAGAGCCGAGCCCGGGGTCGGCTCTGGGTGTGCAACAAAGAGGTCAGCCTCAGCAGAGGTTTTCCTCTATGCCCACACACCTCCATCCTGGCACAAGCGGTTTTTTTAGGGAAAATTCCGCCTGAGGCCAAGATTTCAGCAATCAGTCTTTTCTTCTATTCAGAGTCCATATGTTAATAAGATTTTCCTTTTTGGTGATGAGGGAGAACAAATCACTGTCCGGAGTTTGTTGAATCCTTTGATGAAATTTACTGGAACGCTGTATTCACATGTATCTGCCTCAGGATTTCCATGATATCCATCTCGGGTCGTTCACGCTAACGATCAGCACCTGGGGTTTCTGTATCTCCCCAGACATGGCCCATCTCCTGGTGAGCCGTACCTTCTTACTTGTAAATCAGTTTCCAATCTACACCCGGTCTCACCTGCGCCTGTGGGGGGGGGGGGGGGAATCCTAATACAAACATGTATACTCTAACAAATATTCAATATCACATATATCATATTAGAAATGGCGCAAATTATATCTACTACACATAACAATCCCAAAGGAGCCCGCGCGATCCCAAAGGAGCCCTCACGATCCCAAAGGAACCCTCACGATCCCAAAGGAGCCCGCGCGATCCCAAAGGAGCCCTCGCGATCCCAAAGGACCCCCGCCGATCCCAAAGGAGCCCCGCCGATGGTGGTACTGCATCTAACCCCAGTGGCAGGCAGAGCGATAGTGCTTGTGATAGAGGATTTTCTGCTGAAATAGCAAATAATAGATGCAGATAATGAGTCGAGGTATGCAGGCATCTGTAATTTGGGTAGTCATATGAAATATCCGTATTTAGAGAGTAGGTGGCAAAGGGGAGAAAGTGTTACACATCTTGTATAGTTCAACAACCTTGATTGGAGATCAACCTAACTGGAAATACTCTATTTCTGCCCTCATTCATTAAGGTTTTAGGTGCAGCTATTCTCTGTGATGCCCCTACTTGCCTGGATGGTGTGATGTACAACATACAGATAACAGTATCTGTTAACAGATACTACATACACATATAGTATATATAACATACAGATATAGCTACCTGCAAGGGAGGAACTTGATCTAACAATCTAATTTAAGAGATGTTTAGTGTTGTGGGCAGATGAGTAAATAAATTGATCGATTGTATGGTCTGAAATTCTCATGTGAGATGCTGTGACCCTGGGGCTCTAGCCCATTCTCTGTTGTATATATTTATCTCTCTCCTATGTATTTAATATATTTTTTCATGTGGTGGCTCCCTTTGCCTCCCATTTTTTGTAAAATAACTAACACAGTAGTTATTATCATGTTATATCGTATCATGTCATATTGTACCCAGAGGCCCTGCGTATTATCATGTCACAAATCACAGTAATGTCATTTCCACCTTTAAAGCCTCTCCTGACCTCATTATGTTCTTTTATAAATATCGATCTTTTAAATGGTGTTCATTGTTGCTCTTCATAAGAACTGAAAAAGGATCATCAGCTACCATAGAGAATACTGAATCTTTGAGCAAACAGATCAGTTATGACCATTTTGGGGTGTTTTGGTGCCTTTACTTCAGGGTAAAGTGCTATATATTCTTAGTATTGCTGACCTGATTTTAATCCTTGTTAATGTCTTGCAGCCACTGAATGGAATATATTGAGTAGAATAATGTATTCAGTCTTACAGAATGATGCTATAAGAGCAGTTTAAAAAAGGTCAAAGATGGAATTTATTTTCTCTGTGTTGTTGGAACTCCTGTGTTTGAGTGTTTAGAAACTTGATATGCCTTTCTAGCAAGTGAATAAATCAGAGAGAAGCTAGAGCCTTATATTGACAGTTCCTGAGTAGCTTCTCCTTGGAGGTAACTCAGTGAGAGGTAAAAGGTGTTGAATGTCTTCAGCTATTTGGGGATATAGAACAGATCAGAGCAGGATAGAATAGAATCCATCCATTAATTAAGCCACCACAAATGACTTTCAGTCAACACAGTTTCTGCACATACTATAATAATAAGGAACAGGGGTGGCCGTATCAGAGGTCATAAGGAAAAGCTGAAGTGTGTTAAATGTTCACATCTGTCAATCCTGTTTTTTTTAGGAGGGATAGAAAATAGCTGAAGAAATTGTGATGCCTGTCCCAAATTACACTATGCATGCTATGGGATGTCTCTAGTGATGGTATTTGGTTCTGAACACACTGTCTTTTCTCATCAGTCATCAAATTGCCATTGCATGTTGTTATCAACCTATTACCCAGATTCTTGTGAAACACACAGAATCTTCTCAACAAGATGAAGCTCCGAGCACAAATCTCCGTGGCTCATAACAAACACTTCTTGAACAAAGCAAAATTCATAGTCTGGTTTTCTTCTGATGGTGTTCTGAGCCCCGTACATTTAATATACAAACATAGAAGCCGTTGTAATCAAAATGTGATTACCAGAGAGCCTAAAGACATGAAAATATTTCATGGAACCTACTCATGAAAATGAGGATTTTGTAGACTGCTCCCTGGAACTGTAAGATACGCTTAGATGTGAGCACTTAGATGTGATACCTGTAACTTTACAGGTGAAGCTTGGGCACGTGAAGCTATTCTTACAGGAGAAGGGAAAAGGCCTCCTAGAGGATATAGTGCAGTTTCTTAAAAGGATTATTGGTGATTATAATTATTTTTTGAGAAATGTTTTTGACTCTACAAAAGTACTTATCATTTGTGATGACTGAAGATAAGTATTTTTAGTATATTGGAGACTGGAAAGACTATAGGCTTAATACAATCTGTCAGATTTCCATTCACTATGGTGGTACCGGACAAGAAAAGATTTCTCTGTTTAAGGGGGAAACCACTTTGGCTTTTTCTCTACCGCTCATGATGTTTAACTTACTAGACATCAATTTTCTTTTTGGTTTGTAGATGTATATTTTTTATCTTGTACTGTTTTTTGATAAAACCTTTAGTTTTATCCACTCTTCTCTTAAAGTGAAAGAGGAAGCTTATTTTAAAGATGGTATTTTTAATAGAATCTTACAAAAAGTATCAAAAAAGTATCATAAATACTTAACTTACACAAATTTTAGAAAACATTTGTTCTTTATTTTGTAGATATTATGTCTTCATTCTAAAATTATGGCACTCATCCCTTTTGAATATAGACATAGACAGCATAGACACTGGGAAGCAGACAAGGAAGACAGAAATTATTCCATGTATTCATTAAGTTTTTATAATGAAACATATGATTCTTCTGGTGTTCAGTTTTCTACAGATGGTTTAGAGCATATATTGATGTACAGTGAAGGCACGTGTATGTAAACCCTCAACATTTGGAAATAAAATAAACTTCCTTATAATTTGTACTGGGTTTTTTAAAAAGGACCAAATTATTTTCCGTGCTGTTCAGTAGAAGGGGCTGTTTGCAACAGGACAACAGCATTTCTAGCAGAACTTTGCCAGATGTGTAGTAATGCCTTTGTTTCAATTTGAGAAGGCTTTAAAAATGGCTTTTATAATTTAGGATATTTTGATATTCAGTAAACAATGTAAAAGATTCTGGATTAGAATGAATGTCTTCAATAAATGTATTTTAAATTAAATAGGATTAAAATATTTCTTTTTCTGCCTAGCTTCAAGTTGCCCATCAAGGCATACTTTTGGTTAGCTCCATGTAAAGTCACAAGGGTCAGCAGAGTTAATATATGCAAATGTTTTTGCCCAATGTCATTTTTGGTAACTTAATTTATGCTAATTGCTCCACATAATTACAAAGAGTACTATAATGGTAGTTTATGAGAAATAATCTCAATGAACCATTGCTAACACCATGGCTCCAAAAATGAAACATTGCATCACAGTCTGCTAGTTCTGGTACCAATTTCTGTGTTAAATAAATGAAAGGTGACATGAGTGGTTCAGCAGGCAAAAAAGAATAACTTCCCCCATACCACATGAAGATTTCTTGCTCCTTGTAAAATTTCCCTGCCCTGAGTGTAAGGGGATTCTGTATAAGCCATCTCTACAGTCTGAGTGCCTGTTCAGTTAGGCTGGTGTATTCCTGCTTGGTGTCTCTGGGCTATGGATGGGTTAAAATAATGACACAGTGCTGAGCCCTGGTGTTATAATTGTACTGGAGAGTCTGCTGCTTACAGGTTGCATTTGTCCAGTGCCTGTTTTGCAGAGGGCTATGTGTTTTAACTTGGGAAACAACATCTTTTATAAAAGATTAGGCTAGCTTAAATTGATCCTGCAACTCAGAACACTAAGGAGAATGAAACCACTAGCAGCTGTGGAATAACTTACATCTATTTTGTAAGTTATCTAGAAATACATCTGTCTATTAGTACATAAACTTGCAGTAGATATGTATTCTCTTTTATTTGTCTAGTCACAATATTTTCCTTTATTTCTCTGTAGTGCATGAAGATTTCTGAAGTTTCTTCCAAGCCATTTCCTTAAATATTTCATTTCATTAGTGTTACGTAAATACTAGGAATCTGGGGCAAGATTCTGGTTTGCTTTCATTTGCTAAGGTGTGGAGAAACTGCTCAGCTGATCTATATTAGACTTGTGTGGCAAGGGAGGTCATTGTCTGGTCCCTACCAGAAAATGTGAATTGCAGTCTCCCATTTGATTCATGTGCATTGTTCTCATTATCCTTAATGGATGTTGTGGACATATATTAGGGGAATAGGCCCTATTAGGAGCTGTCTAAGGAGTGAAATGAAAATTATAATCACTTTATCTTGGATGAGGTATTGTATTTATTCTATGGGATTTTAAATGCTATTTTAGTGTATAAATTATCTCGGGCATTATAGAATGGTTTAGATAGGTTTTGGTTAATTGACAGTGGTGGGTATGTTTTAGAAAATTATTATACCCACTGGGACTTCAATTTTGCTGTGAATTATATTATTTTTGGAGATGTAAATTGCAGTCTCTCCCAGGAGACAGAAATAATGTGCAGCT